CTAAAGCATAAGATGACCTATTGCCCGAAGACTCACATCATCCTCCACTTTGTATTAAATTACACAGAAACTCTCGTAGCAAAACCTGGTCACAATCAAATGATGTTACCTTCAATTTTCGCAAAGCTGATTTTGTTACACTGTATGAACAATTGACACTTATGGACTGGTCATTTCTTGAGGATATTGCGGATGTCAATATTGCTTGCACTCTATTCTACAATAACCTAATAAATATTTTCAACATGTGTATTCCGAAAGCTAAGCGTACGCCTGGCAAATCTCTACCCTGGTACACTCGCGCAACCATCAAGGATATTAAACAAAAGAATTCGCTACATAAATTATACAAAAAACGTCAAGAAGTGAGTGTCTAAGATACATTTAAAGAATTAAGATCCAAAATTAAAAGAGACGCTAGTTATGCGTATAAAAAGTACATAGAGCAGACTGAAAATTGCATAAAAAAAGATCCAAATCAGTTTTGGTTCTTCATCAAAAGTAAAAGACACAGTGGCATTTCACCTTCTGAATTCACTCACAATGATTGTGTTTTCAATAACCCTGTTGATATAGCAAATGCCTTCGCTAATTTTTTCCAGTCTGTGTATTCTACCCCCAATGTAGCAGCTAGGCCAGATGATGATGTTATTGCTACAAACAATATTGTAATCAATAGCTTCACAGAAAATGAGGTTCTTGTGACATTAAAGAAAATGGAGAACAAGTTCACTAGTGGACCTGATGGTATACCTGCATTCTTAATCCGTGATTGTGCACCTATTCTTGCTGCACCTTTAACTAAAATCTATAACCTAAGTATCACATCACATACATTTCCTGAGATTTGGCGTGAAGCCAAGGTTCGACCTATCCATAAAAATGGAAGCCGTAAATTAATTGAAAACCATAGGCCTATCACTATTGTGTGTAATTTTTCGAAAACGTTTGAAATGTTATTACATAATTTCATACAACACAATGTAAGTTCTTCAATTTCTACAGCACAACATGGATTTGTAAAAGGAAGGTCGATAACAACAAACTTAGTCTATTTAACTCAATTCCTAGCAGGTGTTTTAGATTCTAATGGTCAGGTTGATGTGCTATATACTGATTTTAGTAAAGCATTTGATAGAGTCGATCATGGTTTACTACTGGGAAAACTAAATAGCATTGGCTTATCAAAAAATTTGGTATTATTATTTTAGTCGTATTTGTCTGATCGTAAACTATATGTGGATTTTAGCGGTGGTAAATCAATTCACTTTTTTCCATCTACTGGCGTCCCACAAGGATCTTCCTTAGGTCCACTGCTATTCGTCATTTTTATTAATGACTTAGTTAATACGATTGACTGCAATATTCTGCTCTACGCGGACGACGTAAAACTGTACTGGCAAATTGATGATCCATCTAGTTGCTTTTATTTACAAAGGAATCTTGACAGACTGTCTGAGTGGTGTGCTGCTAATAAACTTCCCATCAACGTGAGCAAATGTAAATCTTTAACTTTCCCTAGGAGAGTAAATTCAATTACCAATAGTTATAAAATTAACAACACTCCTCTTCAAACTTTAGAGGAGTTCAGAGACCTAGGAGTAATATTTGACAGGACATTGAGCTTCAGTGCACACCTAACTAATTTAGTGAATTCTGCCAACAAAGCACTGGGATTCGTTATACGCAATTCAAGAGAGTTTATCAATACCACAGCACCTACAGTGCTGTACAATTCGTTTGTTCTTTCTAAGCTGGAATACGGAAGGATAATCTGGAACCCATGCTATGTTACCTCATCTGACTCATTGGAAAAAACTCAAAGGAAGTTCTTGAAGTATTTATCTCTCAAAACTGATGGTGTTTATCCTCCCATAGGGATTTCACAAAATAACTTACTTCAAAAGCATAGGTTTCTCAGCCTTGATGATAGAAGGAAGATACAATCTTTAGTATTTTTGTTCAAAGTTATAAATTATCAACATGACTGTCCATTATTTTTGTCTATGCTAAATTTCAATACACCTAGAGTACGAACAAGGGCCAACCTTGCCTTTTATCAACCTACCCCACGAACGAATCTACTGCTTCACTCACCACTATATTTCGATATGCTCATCTTATAATGACTATATGAATTATTTTGATATCTTCAACACATCCATTTCTATTATTAAGAGAGTATGTAAAGCGGTAGTTTTTTTAGAGCTACCACAGTTTGATTGAGCTATGATCAGTGGTAGCTTTTCATAGGTTCTTATTGGTAATTACTAAGCAATCAATGCAATTAGTTTATTTTATGATTTTTCTATATATATATATACTGTATTTCCCACCAGTAATTGGTTTATAAACTGTTGGTGGTGTAATTAAATAAATAAATAAATAAATAATAAAGCAGCTGTAAAAAGGACTAGTAAGCGGTCTACGACTGATCAAGGTATCAGCATTGCCATCATCATACGTCAAGATCAGACACAAATGCAACAATAATAATAAATTAATTATCCGCTCAATTCTACTATAAAAGTGGAATATTCACATACAATTTCATAGTTATACTATCATATGTTAAGAAGTTATGATTGAAGAAAAAATGCACAAAAATGCATTCTTGACAAAAAAATCGCGTCAAGTAGGTTGTCTCTGCACTTCCTACGCAACGACGTCATCAGTTTAAATCCTCTGAGAAAAAAGCCAGTTACGAACATGTATAACAGAAAAATTAAACGGACTAAGCAAGTCAAACAGGCCCATACAGCTCGTCCATGCGACGCTGCAAAGAGTTGTCGTTCATATCATACAAAGTCCGTGTATATGTTTTTTGCGTTGCAGTACGGACTCTATCATTCCAAGTTTTAAAGGCAAATTTATGGGGAAATGTAAGAAATCGTGGATCCTCAACACATTATTGAACCAGCTTCTGCAGTCAGTTGTCGAATCAAGCTGAAAATTCAATCATTTTACTAGTAAGGCTGGTTTTAGTGTCAAGCTGACGTCAGCGCCGACAGCTCAGCGCGAAACGTTTTAGTATCGTGCTGATCGCCACGGAATTCAGTCGCAGACGCAAAATGATTAGAACATTTTCATATACATTTTCCGTCTTTCACATAGTTGCGACCTTGTGTAAATATTTCATCAAAGTCCGAGCTGTACGTTTCAAGTTTTAGACGGGTCAAGGATTCCCGAACTGACAGACAGACCGAAATGACTTATATGGCTTTTCGTGATGTACATGTCATATAACATCAAAAAAACACCGTATCTCATTTTCGAAATTTTCCACGTCCACGCCGAGTGGCATAGGAAGAAAGTAAACATTGATAACACTGTTTTAATAATCAGATGGAAAGGGTTAAGAGTGCTCCTCTAAACAGGAATTTGTGAAAAAGGGATATACGATCGTCAAGACTTTAGTTTCACTGCTAGCTTGTTTCCACCTTAGACCTATGATGATCGAGTTGTGTAAGCGGTACCATACTACCGATGTGCCTATATTCATCAGCATATTAATGGCTTCCATGCATGCTCGTAACATTGCAACACTAATATTTTTCACTTAAAATATCGAGTGCACTGTATCTGTATTGCCTGTTTGAATTTAGATCTCTTTGCAAATATTTGCTATGATGAAAAAATGCAACAAACCTAAAGCAGTTAAGAGTACTTCAATAAAGAAGTAATAGAAAAGGAAATATGCATACTTAAGCTAATAAGGCTCGGTAAAACTATAGATACCTAAATTCAGTAAGTTCCAACCCTGGGCGGAGCTAGAGACAGTTTGCTGGGAGGCACATTTTGCATATTGCAAGTTTTTCCATATGAACAGAAGCATGACAAAGAGTAGCAAATGTTTTCTTCACGCTTGGTAATGAAACTTGGAGTGGGCCATACACCAGATGCCCCCCTCAACTCCATCTTTGCTTCTAGCCTGGTATATATAGCCCTCTATTTTTGCTTATACTATTTTGAAGTAAAACTTTTTGTCAATATTAACCTGAGAAATCGCCATTAATTACTACATTTCTCCAAGAAGAAGTTAATTTTCCACGATAATGGAAAAAGGCCTAGGTAAATAATGAATGCAATTGCAATCATGTAGAGCTTCTTTGGCTTGCTGAGCACAGAATTATCACTGCTATTAGGGCCTTTATCCATTTTGAATATTACTAATTAATTATTTATTAGTAGTATTAATTGTTGTTGACTGTATTCATCTTAATATTGTGTCAGCTTCCAAGTTCCATTCTACTTGATAAATGGTGACCATGAGTGGGAAACGAATGATGTGTCGACGTACGTAACATCTGTGTCGGACATGCAGCTTTAGCGTCCCTCACTTGCACCAAAATTTCATGTGCTTTATTCAGACATTAGAAAATTTTCAGATGTGCTATATTTCAAGGTCTAATCAAATAAACTGTCGATAGTAGTGAAAAAAGCTAAATGCACCTCAGGATATAAAAGTGCTCGGCCAATAATGGCATACTTCTCCACCAAGGTAAGTAATGTACTATTTTTCACTACTATCCTGAGAAAACTCGATTGTTTACCGCATTCCTCTAAGGATAAGTTACTGGTAAATAATGACAATGAAAAAAATCCATAGGTAAATAATGGATGTGTGCATTCGTGTAGGGCTTCTTCGGTTTTTCATCACAAAATTGTCACTACTATGAAACCGTTTACTATTTTTTGAATATTAATAATAATTATTGTTTACTTCAAATCAACACAGAGCCTACTTTTTAGCTAAAAGTATTTTTGTTAATTTTGTGCCGGACGCTCAGAAAATTCTTAGAATCTCTATAAATCAAAGTAAAATCAAATTAAATCTGGTAATTATGATAGTTCGTAGTGGATAAATTACATATCTACATACCTCGGTGGAAAAAGTCATTATTGTTCTCGACACTAGACGCCTCAGGATATAAAAGTGCTCGGCATACTTCTTGACCAAGGTATGTAATGTAGTACTTTTATGGATCCAAAATTTACAGGTATCTATCGGCCTAACATAATAGGGCATCCAAAAAAACCGGACGTCGAGTCCGCGGTTATCTTTTTGATAAAGATGGTAGACAGACAATTTATGAACCAAAATGGAATGGTTTTTCCATCAGCCATAACCCCATCTCCAGAGCCAAAATGGGTGTCGCCTGATATTAGCGAAAAGCAAGACATTCGTAAGTACACCAGAAACAATACTAATTTTGTTTATTTTTAATACACAAAACTTTTGCTGTAGGGATTAAAAATCCCTTCTATCAAAATAATATTTGTTGAAGCGGGTGCTTATACGGGATGTTTGCAAAACATGGGACAAAAGTTCAAATAAATATTTGAACAATTTCAAGACTAGTTTGTCTGTGGACGATTTCCAAAATACCACTTCGCTTTAAAGATCAAAGTATCTAAAGGCCACCACTGGAAGTCAGTTTTTGTCAGATAACTGTCATTAATACCTTATAATCCAACGAAATCATTGTACGGCAACATCGAATGCAGGGTAAAGTTCTAAAGAGTGCTAAGCTCATTTTACTCATGAATTTTTTGACCATTTTTATTTTCTTGGGATACTCATTTTACCTCTCTCTACCTCTCTCTACCCCCCTCTGCCTCTCTCTGCCTCTCTCTGCCTCTCTCTGCCTCTCTCTGCCTCTCTCTGCCTCTCTCTGACTCTCTCTGCCTCTCTCTGCCTCTCTCTGCCTCTCTCTGCCGCTCTCTGCCCCTCTCTGCCCCTCTCTGCCCCTCTCTGCGTCTCTCTGCCTCTCTCTGCCTCTTTCTGCCTCTCTCTGTCTCTCCCTGTCTCTCTCTGTCTCTCCCTGTCTCTCTCTGTCTCTGTCTGTCTCTGTCTGTCTCTCTCTCTCTCTCTCTCTCTCTCTCGCTACTAACAGTCTCCCACCTACTAAAATACTCATTTTTTACTTATTCTTCCTTGCAAAATACATGTTTTTATCACATTTTCCGACGCTCCGGCCTGTGGACACACTACGGCTCAAATATCACAAACGGTATACCAGAGAATCGTGTTGTTTCGTGCGTTAACGTGTGGCAATATACAAGGTGATCCATAAGTCGTGTCCAAAAATGAAACATCGTACGCAGGACTGCATTTTAAGGGGGGTCTTCTATGTAACGTTTTTTCCTCAAGGGCTTCATTAAAAAGATACGGGGTGCTCGACAAAACACAACATTAAATATAAATGGTCAGTCAGTCTATTGACTGTATTAATGGCAAATACATGATACGAAGGTGTTTATTTGATTTTTAAAATGTTTTTAAAATTATTTGGTAACTTTTAAACCGACTGTTGTCGTTCATTCGAGCCAAATGGACTGCCGTTTCGGGCTTTTTGGCAACTCGTCAGCATGGTTTAGGTTTGGTCTCTGGTGAGACAACGAACATATCCATAGCAACTACGTTCTGTCCGACATATGGGATCTTTCGAAATGAGACACGACAAAGCGGCATCTATTACCAGAATCGACCACTGCTAGAGCGGACAGCTTTAGGGTGGAAATGTAAAGATCTCATTGTTTCTTATTTCGATAGATCTCATACCTCGAATAGAGGATAGTTTCTATACTTTCGTTCATTGTTCCACCAGAGATCAAGCCTAGATCATGCTGGTGAGTTGACTAAGAGCACGAATCTGTTATCCACGGTTGGCCATGTGGAGTGGGATGTACGAAAGCAGTTTAGTTGTTCCATGGTGGTGCGAGCACATCTACTATACCACCAGAATCGGCAGCATCTAGCGGCGATGATGGAGACCCGGCTATCAAATGCGAACTGAGATGTTTACAGTTCCAACCGATAGCTGCTGGTCGATTCTGGTACTAGATGACACTTTGTGCTGTCTTATTTCGATGTTTGTTTCTTTTTTTAGACTTATTGTGAGATTTTTTTATTTAAAGAGCGAAGGGCACCGTTTAACACAGATGGTGAGCAAAACAATACGCTTGTATATACATCATGTTTCCAGTGAATATTTGTCACAGTTATATTATGTAATATTAGTAAATTTCTGTAATATAAATAGCTTCGTACCACTTATTCGAAATAGAGTATCTATAAATAGGAGTAGTTGTAGATCTTCTGTGCCTCTGTTTTGTCATTGAAGTAACACAAATTCATGAACATTTTAATTGCTTTCAAGCTAGAGAGCGTGCGTGTGTTAATTAGCTTACAAAAAATAGGATAAACATAGCAACTCTATTTTTAACATATATAAGCAACAAGCTATAAGAGATTTTGAACTTACTTAAACTTGTGTTGAATTCAACGTATTACATATTTTCCTGTAATCTAGGCTTCATAGATCACCATAGAGATTTAACGATCGAGCTAACTTCTGTCATTGATTAAATTATTCTACTAGAAGAGAGCCAACCTAATGCTATACTCCCGCATCCAAAAATTAGCTGAGGTAAAATGAGATACCGTAGCGTCAACTATGAATTTGTCTTATCTATTTCTGTATTTACTATATATACCTTGAAGATGTTAGCGTCTCATAGATGGCGCTGTCTATATGCTCATATATACTCATATAGTTCAGACTATGATGGTGTAATTTTTTAATAAAGGATTGCATTCATGTATTGGCGAAACCGCTTTGCATGATCTACAATATGATATTGTTAACATGCTCTTACCCTCGTATCTGGAAAATGACCATCCTTGATGTTCCAGAAACTCTCTCACGAGTAATGTACCGAAGTGTAAAGTTTTGTCTTTTAGTAGGAAGCAAAATGTAATACATTATGATTATAGTATCACTTACTCGAACGAACCGAAACGTTCAAAGATTTGGGTGTTGTAATCGATGCCAAGCTGACATTCAAGGATCACATCACTCAAATAGTGAATTCAGCGTTTAAGATGCTAGGCTTTTTTGTAAGGAATTGGTCAGGGTTTTCAAACATATCCACTCTAAAGCTTTTATATTTTACATTTATTAGAAGTAAGCTGGAATACGCTTCATTAATTTGGTCTCCAATCTACAACAATGCAATGGTTAGCCTTACGCTGCATATATCGTAAGGCTTTAAAGTATTTGTATTACAAATTAATGTTATGACAGTTATCCTGAAAGAGGTTTCGACCATTCCATTTTATTAAACATTTTTGATAGAGTCATTTCATCCTAGACGCGATATATCAACCGTACATCTTTTGTACAAAATCATACACAATCAAATTGATTGTTCATTCATATTAAGTTAGCTTAATTTTCGTGTGGCTAGGTTGGGAAATCGTGTTCAAATCACTTTCCATCCGGTTATTGGTAATACTAATGTAATGTCTAGATATCCGGTAAATATGATTTGTACATGTTACAATTCTGTTTGCAGTTCGTGTGACTTGTTTTTTGATAGCGAGAACTTGTTATGAAGTGCTACAGAGACTGGTACCTTTGTCAGTGAGAGTTAGTTTTTTCTTTTTTTTGTCTTCAGCGTTATCGCTGTTGCTAATTATGTAATTTTTTCTTGCATTTTTCCTGTTGGAAATTAATAAATAAATATTAGAATTCTGCTGTCCAAATGTTTACTTATCTGTAAAGTTATATAAAAAAATAGGAACTTTTTTAAAGAAAATGTGTGTTATCGCAGGCGCATGTTTTATTGTTATTTCATTTTTATATTGCCATGTTTATATGATGGGATTATCTCGGAGATTATGACTTAATTGAATCTTATATCCTTTAGATCAGAGAATGAAATGCCATATACTCCAGAATTGAATAATTGTTGACCTCAGCCTTGCTCCAGTTTGGTTACATATGTTGAATAAAAGGGTTCGGAAAATGCTGCTATATAGGAATCTTCAGTTGTCATTAGATGCAAAAATGGTTTTGTAAAACCCATTCGATTTGAATAAGGTTTCTTGAGATTTATTTTTTGTTCTTCTAGTATTTTCGGAATGTCGACAAGAAAGGTAAATTAAAATTGTATTGGTATGTAAATGCTATGTAAATAAACATATATATATGTATATATATAGAGAGAGAGAGAGTAAGCTTGCCAAATATGGAACACCATTTTGTTTTTCGATTCTAAAAGAGATATATGATGCATAGCAAACTAGTTAATAGCCTTAACGTGGAAGATTGACACAGATACTAGGAATGGTAACATTTAAATATAGAAATTATATAATTTTGGAAAAGTAGCATTTTATGAAAATCGAAATATGGTTCCCTAATATAGAATATACTTAGGGTAGATAGATCTAAAGGTTGCATCTTGTGAGACGTATAGGGTGGTAAGCATATTATAGTCACATAATTTCTCTTTGACCAGTTTCAATAATTCTATATTCCTGGTGTGGGTATTATGTCCAGTATAAGCAACACGGTATCTTCTTTGAATGGCTTTGTTTTTGCAAGGAAATGTCTGAACCACTTTGTGAAAAGTCAAGTCATATGACCATCAAAAATGCTCCATGTCGGTGCACCTTTTTCTAATTGAACACTCATATTTTTCCGACGAAATATTAGTAGGGGAGGAATGAATGTGCCTCCAGCACTCATTCAGAGGACTGCAGTAACAAATGAACCTCGTTCAGATGAAGTAAGCGTAGCTACTTGCCGCTTTCCTTTCAACGGTATTATTTCACTACGTCTAGATTGTGCTACGGTTAATCCAGTTTCAGGAAAAATATGTGCTTCCATTCTATTTTCAAGGAGATCAAAGAACTTGTCAACATTTTCTTTACAAAAACCCAACGCCCGAGCCAGGCAGCAGCGGTGGCCGCAGTAGTAGACTCTTCGGTCTCCTGATCAGCCGCCGTGCGCTGTGCGGGTTCGAGTCCCGTCCCAGGAGAAATTTTTCTCTTGGCTATGGATCTTGTGATTGCCCGTAGGTGGTAGACGGTCTCTGACTGTCGAACGCGGAGGTACCATCCGGCAGATCTCGTAGGCGGAGCCAGAATGCGTGCATGTTGCATGCACACGTGTTCCCTCGCCAGAGTCCGTGTGGCGTTCCCCCCCTTTCCCATGTATCCCCCTATAGCCCCATGGTACCCAATGGGTGCTTAAGCCTTCGTGGTAGTTGGAGTATAAAAAAAACGGAGGTACCTGTTGGTTCTCTGAGGGAGAGTCTAGGATGTCTACGCAACTAATACAATTCTTTCCTGCTTGCCGAAGTAGTTCAGGAAATCTATCCGTTAATCCATTTGCTTCTGCTCGTTTGTATGCCAATCGACGCACATCAGTTCTGGTTAAACCATGAAAAGAAAATATTTTTCAAGCTCCTCTTCTAAGTCTTCGGATAGAATAGGTTTTCTGTCTAATTTAGTTTTACATACTTGACTAGGTATGCCTTCTTTTTGACAGAAGCGAAATAGAGTCGTTCTCGGGACATTAAACTACTTTGATGCCTTTAAATAACCCATTCTTTTCTCCTCAACTGTTACCACTGCTTCAATCATCCTCTCACATTTCGATAATTTCCTTTTTTCGTATTTACTGCATGGACATTGTGTTTCTGCAAAGAAAATTATGCTTTAAAAATTGTTTGTAATATGGAATACATTCCATATTGAGATCCTGTGCGTATTCCATATTAGGACCTAACCTTTAAATAACGAGAATTGCCTTTTTTTTCTCTATCAAGAGCTAAATTGCAGGTAATAATATTGTTAATTACATTTATAAATATCTTCCAACCACAACTACGCGGCCGGTTATATCCACTTGCTGTGGTACTTCAAGCCCAAAGGATCTACAAAGAGAAAATTATCATGCGGAGAAAGGTATATAACAAAAAGTAGGAAAATAATGGGCATCCAATCCAATCCACTTTCCTCCTTTTTTGCTGATTTTGACCATTATTTTCCTACTTTTTGTTATATATATAACAAAAGCAATAGGAAATTTCCTCTTTGTATATATATATACATATCGATTGTTGCGATTTCAAAAAGTATCTCATCTCTCTGATGGGTTGATCCGTTTTTCAAGAAGACTATTTTTACTTAGCAATAATTTAAAAAAAATGTTTAGATAGATAATTCAGGTGTCAAAAGGAAGTGCAATTGCTTCAATACGGATTGTATAGTGTTGGAACCATTTTAGCTCGTAATTGATACGTAACATGATGTTAAAAAATGGTGGCAAGTAGGTTGCTTGTATACTTCCGCAACGCTGTCGTCAGTTTTATAGGATTAAGTTCGGCACAAGTTAGCCCTTCTGAGAAAAAAGTTAACTACGAAGATGTAAAACAAAGATTTAAATGGATGAAGTCAGTCAAACAGCCTCATTCAATTATAATTTGGATGTATAGCATGCTTTTTTAGAGCTTTTCTCCCCTTGAAGAAAATAAGCCAACCGTCCTTCAAAAATTTTTGCAGGCAGGTAGGCTTTGATTCAATGTTGTGTCTTGCCGATGGATGACCCTCCCATTCCCCCTTAAGTGAAATTCTTGCGGGCGGACATGATCCTTGCTATAACTAATCCCGCGTGGATGACGAATAACGATTGATTTTTACACTACATTGGCCGGATCACAGTGTACATATTGACATGCGACTGTTGGAGATATTTCAAAGTTCGAGTTTTGGAAATTAAAATAGCAGCGAAACATGTCGCACGCCCATGCTATCTCGGCATCTCTTTAAGCTGACAGATTCGGCGCGTGAGAAGCCGTGTACGTAGAATACCTGTCAACTACCTTGTAACAAACTCATACTTCCCATTTATAAATTGGGTTCTCGCAAGGGTGAGCCCTTAAGGCGTTGAATGTAGGGATGATACTATTTTGAAGCAATGTTGAATTTTTCTAACCTAAAATCGAGCTTTTTCGATGTTCTATATAGATATGCACATTAAACTCTTTTATTTGGCCACCCACTGTACTTATTTGATTCATTTAATTTGCCCTTTTGATTTTTTTATCCTCGCATACCAAACTTTATATGCCCTATATAACCGTGTTTTATTGTCAATCAATAAATTAACTGATTTTAATAAGATTGCTGATATGCAAAGCATTCCGGTCATGCCGGAGGCTATTGACAAAAATAGAGGAAATATGGGAACTGCTACCACGATAAGCTCCTCTTAAACTTATCTACTATCAGATACCACCCGAAGCATTTAATCCCATACTATAAAAGACGTACATCATATACAAGTTAATCCACATTTATCCAAGCGAAGCATGGATTAACACAAATCATGCATTTTTTAGACCAGAAACTTCTGAAGTACGATCACCTATCCATGATGGATAGGTTGGTGCTGTTCCTGGCGGAATACCTGGGAACTGCGATTTTGGTGTTCTTGGGATGTGCGGGCTGTGTGAAGTACAGAGAAGGGTCTGGTCCTGGGAGCTTGGAAGTTGCGTTTGCTTTTGGGTTTGCTATCATTATCGCTGTACAGGTAAGTGGATGAAAAACCTCTGCTCTAGTTTCTTCATTAGGAACTCGGGAGTGCATCTTATAGTTTTCGCAAGATTAATTCTCCTTTCTTTATTCTAACGTATGTCCTGAAAGTTTTGACAGAAAATTCAAACACAAAATAATATCAAGTTCATATGACCCATGGTCCAAAACTCGATAGATTTTTGTCTAAATGGCTTTATAGTTTACAACTTTAAGTGCTTTGTATCAACCATAATCACCAAAATCTTACTAATTTTTATAATCTAATCTAAAACGTTTTTAAATTGGGTAATTAACAAATAAATGGCATTAAGTTTTTCTAAGTTAAGCTAAAATTTGTAGTCAGTAAGAAAGTAAGTTTCATTAAATTAAATATATAAAACACACATGACAACAGCGCGTCGGTCTTTCATCACCCTTATCGAACCGGCAATCGATCGCAAACGATAACAGTGGTTAGTTATCCTTTTGCATAGTTTTGCGGCATTGTCAGACTCATTTTACTTTAAAGTCGCATTTCTCTAAAAAAATGCCGTTTTGACCCCCATGTTATATGAAACTTTTTTCTTCTTTTACCCCTCTGTCACCTATTTAAATAATGACTATCATAACGTTTACACCCTGTATATTAATAAGTGCCTTTCAAAATTGCTCCAGCTTGTCAACAAACATCGTGCTAATGACCATATTATGTTTTGCTGGTAATTTCTGATGACTACTTAGTGTTTAAATGAATATCTTCGTTAAGAAAAAATCCGATAAATATTTTGTGCCAAGACTAATAGCACATACGTTATAGTTAAAGAAAAATGGAAATCAGGTCAAAAATAAAATCAGATGCCTTCGTCTGTTCTACCAAGAAAGGAAGACAGTCAGCCACGGACAGCTGTTTCGTGCTTCTTAGCTACTCATCAGCATGATATAGGCTTGGTCTCCTACCTCTGGACGAACAAACGAAAGCATATCACGTTGATCCTCTATTCCGCAGGTGCGGTTTTTCAGCATAAGATAGTGCGAAGCGCCATCTATCGCACCAAAATCAAACCATTGTAAGTAGCGTACCGCTGCTATTAGTTGGAACCGTCGCAGTTCCCGTTCAATAACAATGCCGCTAAATGGCTGATGATTCTGGCAGAAACCTCAGAATACAAATTTTCTAATCACTAAATCAAATTTTAGGTTTTGGAGGTATCACTGGCAGTGTAAAGCGATAAAGCTGTTTTCCTCAAATACTCATTTTATCGCAATCAAACAAGAATATATTGCTTCAGTCAAGCCATTAGGCTTTTCAAAAATCAATATTATAGCCTTGGTCTAAATGGGTCAATTTTTCACCACAGACGCAATCGCATGAGGCTCCAACTGTTACCCATGCTGTAAAAATTTCGTTGAAATAACTCAAAAGTTAGGCAGCAGTTATTTTAAAAAAATCTATTCACAGTAGCGCCATTTATAGAACTTTTTATCAGTAGGATGTTTTTAAAAGTGCTTGTGGCACAAATCTCTGTTATATATTGATAAGAGATTAAAATGCTATTCTGGGACACCCGTTAATAGTTTTTTAATTTTTGCATTTCCCGTATCTAAACCACTGCTAAATATTGATATTTCATTGGAACCGTTCCATAAATGTCGATATATTTATGTCAATCTGGTACTGGGTGGAAGTAGGAACGAAAAAACCGCAGATCATTAAGATGAACAAAAATTCGGGTTATGTAATAATAGTGGATACTTTAGAAAAGAAAAAAAAGTGTGACTTAATTCCTTGTCTTATCAACTTTGTGTTACTTTAGACTTTAGACAAAGACACTTATTGATATTCTTATTACAAGCGATGTCCTATGTCTCTCATACAAATCAGTTTTGGACCTTTGCCTGTGGTATACATTATTTTAAATTAATCAATCTTCACTATTTATTTCAGACCGTTGGACATATTTCAGGAGCACATATCAATCCTGTGATCACTTTAGCAGCTTTAATAATGGGTGTGACGCCTTTAATTCAAGTTCCATTGTATCTTGGAGGCCAATTTTTAGGCAGCTTGACCGGATATGGATTGTTGAAGGTATAATAATGTAAGGTTTTGGGACATCTCAATACAAAATACATCGGAGATACAGGATTTTTCCTAAAACTCATTATCATCATCATCCACTTCATCATTGTTCTAGGCTAATGAATAAAAATTAATTGAAGTCAAAATTTTTAAAAGTGATTGTTGAATTAGTTTTGAAAATAGATAAATCAAATGGGTACCTTTACAGGGTGATTCAGAAAACAGTAGCAATAATTATACACTGAAAACCAAATACCACTGACGTTGTAATGTGTACGAGAGATAAGCATGAGAAGCTTGTAATACGTGTGTTAGAAGGAGATAGAAGCACATCGTTGCCTAGCAGCCGGAGTAGGAAGTAACGGATGCCATCGCCGCACTCTTTCTAACACGTATTGCACGTTTTTCGCGCTTCTCTCTCGTACACATTACGACTTCAGCTAAATTTGAATCTCACCAAAGAGCAGAGAAACATGGATCCTAGAATACTGCCGTATTGACATACAATGTGTTGAAGTTTTTCGAATCGAATTAAAAAATATATCTTGAGAGTGTATCAAGATGTTGACTTGCAACTTTGTACATGATCACTATGACGAATACATACAATCGTATTCATGCCTTTGACTACACCACTGGCTTAGAAATGTTGCAGAAGAAAAAAGAAAAATATGTTCTGCGCCAGTGACTTTTTGAAACATCAGTTGGTAATCTTATGGTCCCATAGCGTTATTTGAACGATATTCATATTTTGTCCTTATACAGTCGCATCAGTTGTGCAAAAATTTAGAACCCTATATCTCGGTATTGAGATATTGAGCCGTATTCATAAAACAAATGATATCCTTGGACCTGCAACTTTTGAAGGAAATCCTCCATATGGTATTTATAATAATTTGAAGTAAATGCTTTTGCTTTTTGAGTATAAGCATATTCTTCAAAGCAGTGACATAAGTTAAAGGATATTCATAATCTTCACCTTATACTTGGCATAGGAAGCATACCCTTCAAAACTTCTAAGTGTTTTCAGTAGCAGACTCAACTTCGTAACGAAAGGTGGTCAAACGATGATGGCGGAAATTGTGTATGTTAGGGATGTTGAAACGTAAAAACCTCGCTTACCTTCACTTGGTCGTGACTCTAAAAAATTATATCGGTTCGACGAAGCAAATGTATAATGGTTTGCGGTCAGATTTTTAGTTGAGAATGACCAAACTCGAGGAGGAGCACTTTCATGTATTCATAAAATAAAGATATGTCTACGCTATCTCGATGACCCTGGATATCAACAAAGTATTGATGTTAGTCAAACAACGCTATCTCGGACTGTGGATAGAGTTGTGAACAGCATAGTTGCACAGCCGAACGAATGGATCAAGTTTCCAACTACCAACCATGAACCGGTAGAGGCCAAGCGTATATGGAAAAGCATGTATAAATTTCCGACAGCAATTGGTGTAAATGGTTGTACACATATAGGAATCCTGAAACCAAATCGCCATGGAGATGAGTATATCAACCGAAATGGGAAACCTACTTTAAATGTGCAAGCCACTTGTCATGCCATAGAGATGTTCACAAGTGTTGATGTCAGTTGGCCTGGATCAGTGCCTGATTCCAGAATATGGAGAAATTCACAGACTAGATCACAACTAACAAATAAAGCAAATGTTGTACTACTTGGCGATGACGGTTATGGTATTGAGCCATACCTTATGACTCCCTTCATAAATCCTACTCCAGGTGCAGAAATAAATTATAATAAGCTTTTAAAACAAAAAAGAGTTATAATTGAACGCTGTTTCGGCCAACTGAAACACCGGTTTCCTATCCTACATTATGTTTGCCACGTAAAGATGTAAAATGTGCCGAAAATAATTATTGCTTGTATTGTACTCCATGATGTTGTGAAGAGCTTGGACGATCCTGACTTTGAGTTAGTTGAACAGGACCCAGATGAAGATGAGGGAAATCATGAGAATGACGAACTTAATCTCCGCCAACTAGGTCAACAAATAAGGAGAAACTTCAGTATCATAATGAATAGTTTTACTGATTAAAGTGTACTATTTATAAGTTATAATAAGTTTTATTTTCGTGAACATCATAAGTTACAGGTGGCTTCTGATGCTGCATCATTTCTAATTTCGTTTTATAATACTCTTGTTGTAAAATACTTGATTGGTACTGCTGTAATAGCACTAGACGTTGCAGTTATTTCATAGTTAATCCTTTGGTTTCCTGAATTTCGTATTTCTCTGTTGCTAATTTTCTTTTTGGTGGCAATGTCTTCTGAATTGCAGGCGCTGTAATACTAACTGTTTGCTCACTGCGCTCGGTGTATAGTTCACTTCCTTCTTTTTGAACACTACCAACCTGAATGGCACCTCTAATTTTCCCAATTGTAGTATTTCAGTCCTTCAGCAACTTTCTTTCCCAATCCAACAATTTAATTGCTTTATCACAAGTTTTTTTTGGATCTGTTTTTTTCTTCACTCTTGATTTCATATTGTGTTTTTTTTTTAATAAGCCTTAAGTATCTAATGGTTTACAAAATGTTTATTCGTATTTTTTCAACATCTTCTTCAAGACATCGTCCTTTCTCATTTTTAATTTTGCAAAATAATGGGAGCAATGGCAATTTCATCTGCGATGAACTGCAGGTCGTTGCCATTATTTTCTATAGTTTCCTCATCACTTGAGGATGACATGCTTATTAATTTGTTAAAAAACTGTATCCAGTAAAAATACGGAACGGTCTGTGTAAGCTCTGGAGTACAACTGGCAGTGATGCTGAGTGAACAAACTCCCACGTCAACTACAAGCTGGAACAAGTCAGGACATGTCGCTCAAGATACAAATACCATTCAACCTTTTACTTCTTCTTGGAGGATATCCTCGCAAGTATAAAGTAATCATTATGAATATGAAAACAAGGATATGCGTATACTTCTACCTTTTTCTCCGAAGCAAGACCTTATACTTTTACCTTATGCTTCCGAGCATTCGCTTCTCTTCTATGAATACGGCTCAATATGTGCCTATGTTTATGAGAATGATTGTAATTGCTTTTTGATTACCCTTTATGTATACATGGAAAGTATCTCCTGATTCGCCTGATACCATTTACTCATTTGATTCATTACCACCACCGGAATGATTTTATGAACCTACCTTCAACCTAAGATCAGATTTTTGTGTATCTTCACGCATATGATTGCTTGAAAAGTTTACATAAAAGACTTTAGAAATGCACTCACAAAGACTGGTGGTTTAATAATTGCTTATTCGAAACCAAGGCATATTGAGAACTATTTTAACGATTTCCTATAGTTTCTTATTTGCAATGTCGATCTACGGACATGACAGAAATACGTTACCTGTAAATGTATATACTAATTATTTTCATTTCAACATCTTTCAATCTCAACGATTTTGTTTATTTTCAGACACTAGTACCGCAAGAATATATCAAAAGATCCCAAGACAATGTGAGCCTTTGCTCTCCCGAACCAAATCCAAAACTACAAGACGCCCAAATTGTTTTCATGGAATTCTTATTGACGTTCTTTTTGGTACTTATTGTCTGCAGTGCTTGGGATAATAGAAACAGTACCAAACTGGATTCACTTGCTATCAAATTGGGACTAGCAGTCGCAGGGCTTGCCTTAGTTGGAGTAAGTATCTGTCACCACATCTGCTGTAACTTAAAAATCGTATAAAAGTGGAGTCGTCTAGGTTAACATTTCCACACATTAAGACGAATGTGTTTAATAGAATAGAATAGAAATTTGTTGGTTTCTCAGTTATAAACAAAAACAAAGAAATTTATAGCAGAGATAACTCGTCATTGTAAATAACATACATTTTTTTTAAAGTACATACCAAAACAAACATAAATAGACAACATATAACACAGGGATATTGATGCTTACGGTTTCACTAGAGCACAGAATTCTTCAATAATATACTAAGTGACATATAAATCCGAACACCCAGTTTAAATGGTTTTATTTTAATAAAATTTTGTATAAGTACTTAATGAAGCATAATAAGTAAATGATAAGAATTTCAAAATGATTACACTGCTTTAAAGCCCTTTGACCTTTAATAATGTGTGGATGCACCTTGATGTGCTACGCATTCTCCAACGCGTCTAGGCATGTTTCTGATCAGGTGGTCAATGACGTCCTGTGGTATCTCATTCCAGGCAATCACCAACTCCTCTCGAAGTGCTTCTAGAGTCTGAGGAGGACGTTGCAAATTGAGCAATCTCCTACCCATCATATCCCACACGTGCTCAATTGGGGATAAGTCGGGACATCTTGGTGGCCATGGTAACAATGTGACATCATTATGTTGAAAGAAGTCTATTGTGACTCTTGCAACATGTGGTCGGGCATTATCTTGTTGGAAAGTTGGATCTGCCAGGGTGTCAAGATAGGGTAAAAGATGGGGTTCTAGAACTTCGTGGATATAACGCTGCGCGTTCATGTTACCTCTGATGAAGATTAAAGGTGACCTGGAACCATAAGCTATGGCACCCCAAACCATAACTCCAACAGTGTGATGAACATGTCTTTCAACAAAAAACTGTGGATTCCTCCTTTCACCACGTCGCCTTCTAACCCTGGCACGACCATCGTGCATGCCTAAACAAAATCGAGACTCGTCACTAAAGACAATACTGTTCCATTCCTGATCCCAGAGTGACCGTTGTCTGCACCACTCAAGGCGATTACGCCGGTGATCTCGAGTTAAAGGGAGGACCCAGTGTGGCCGGTATGAAAACAAGCCAAAACTTCTCATTCGTCGGTAAACACTTCGCATGCCAATAGGTCTTCCGTGTTCTGCAAACCATTCATTTGCAATGGACCTGGTAGTGGAGAAACGGTCCCTTAAGGCCAATAATCTTAGGCGGCGATCTTTACGGTCTGTTGTTCTACGGCGGCGTCCAGTGCCCCTTGCTCTTTGCGTACGGCCTTCTCGAAGCCATGCCTGACAACACCTAACCACAGTGTCTACACTTCTTTGCACTCTAACTGCAATTGCCCGAAAAGAAAGTCCAGCTTCCCGAAGTCCCACTACACGGCCCCTATCAAACTCACTAAGTTGACGAAATCGTACAGGTCTCCGTACTCTAGGCATCGTAACCGATCGTAAAGGATGTCAAGAACCAAAATCCGCCAACGGTGATTCTTTACTGCGGCTGAAATATTCATTTTTAGAGCGTTAGTGAATTAAAAAAAAGCAGTATAAAAATCGGAATGTCCAACTGATAAGGCTGAAAATTTTTTCACTTGTTATTTACAGTAAGATAAATACATTCACCAACTTTTATTAAAATAAAACCATTTAAACTGGGTGTTCGGATTTATATGTCACTTAGTATATTATTATTGTTGCATTTGTGTCTGATCATGACGTGTGATGATGACACCACCAACAGTTTATAAACCAATTACTGGTGGGAAATACAGTATATATATATATATATATATATAAAAATCATAAAATAAACTAATTGCATTGATTGCTTAGTAATTACCAATAAGAACCTATGAAAAGCTACCACTGATCATAGCTCAATCAAACTGTGGTAGCTCTAAAAAAAGTACCGCTTTACATACTCTCTTAATAATAGAAATGGATGTGTTGAAGATATCAAAATAATTCATATAGTCATTATAAGATGAGCATATCGAAATATAGTGGTGAGTGCAGCAGTAGATTCGTTCGTGGGGTAGGTTGGTAAAAGGCAAGGTTGGCCCTTGTTCGTACTCTAGGTGTATTGAAATTTAGCATAGACAAAAATAATGGACAGTCATGTTGATAATTTATAACTTTGAACAAAAATACTAAAGATTGTATCTTCCTTCTATCATCAAGGCTGAGAAACCTATGCTTTTGAAGTAAGTTATTTTGTGAAATCCCTATGGGAGGATAAACACCATCAGTTTTGAGAGATAAATACTTCAAGAACTTCCTCTGAGTTTTTTCCAATGAGTCAGATGAGGTAACATAGCATGGGTTCCAGATTATCCTTCCGTATTCCAGCTTAGAAAGAACAAACGAATTGTACAGCACTGTAGGTGCTGTGGTATTGATAAACTCTCTTGAATTGCGTATAACGAATCCCAGTGCTTTGTTGGCAGAATTCACTAAATTAGTTAGGTGTGCACTGAAGCTCAATGTCCTGTCAAATATTACTCCTAGGTCCCTGAACTCCTCTAAAGTTTGAAGAGGAGTGTTGTTAATTTTATAACTATTGGTAATTGAATTTACTCTCCTAGGGAAAGTTAAAGATTTACATTTGCTCACGTTGATGGGAAGTTTATTAGCAGCACACCACTCAGACAGTCTGTCAAGATTCCTTTGTAAATAAAAGGGTGAAAGATGGGGTTCTAGAACTTCGTGGATATAACGCTGCGCGTTCATGTTACCTCAGATGAAGATTAAAGGCGACCTGGAACCATAAGCTATAGCACCCCAAACCATAACTCCAACAGTGTAATGAACATGTCTTTCAACAAAAAACTGTGGATTCCTCCTTTCACCACGTCGCCTTCTAACCCTCGCCTTTTTCATTTTGAACATTGTTCTTATTATCATCTTTTGTATGATAAAAATACTATCAGCTGCGGGACTATTACGCCAAATTGATTGATTGATTGATTTGATAAAACATAATAGAATATGCAAGCCCATAGTAGACAGCCTGCACAGCTTGCAAGGGCAGGTGACAAGTTTTGAAGCGATACTCTCAATGTGCTTATCAAACTTGAGACAGCTATCGTATGTGACACCCAGGAGGTTTGTATCGCTTTTGATACATAGAGGATCATTAATTAAGGGTAGTTCTTTGGTGGCAACGCTTGACTGCAATAAGACACAGCACGTTTTTTGTATGTTGAATGCTAACTTATTCACCTGCAGCCAGTTTTGAATATGGTTTATTTGGGTCTCTAGCAATATTCGGATATCAGACGTTCCTTGATACGGCATCAGAATAGTTATATCATCTGCATAGAGGAAACTTAGATTTTGCGTGTTTTCCGCGGTGGTGGACATATTATTAATATAAATAATAAACAAGGTTGGGCCCAGTTTACTGCCTTGAGGAACTCCAGTACTATATGTCCGATGACTAGATGTTATTCGTTTCCCAGTTTTGTTCAAAATTACTTTCTGTCTTCTATTACAGAGATAAGATTTAAACCAGTGGTACACATTCCCGCGTATACCATATTTATATAATTTGTTTAGCAATATTTCGTGATCAATGCAATCAAATGCTTTTGATAGGTCCACAAATAAACCACATGCTGTTCCTTGATTCTCTCGAAATTCATGGATTGCTGTTGGGAAATCGAACAGTGCTGTGTTCACACCTCTACCTTTCATGAAGCCATGTTGGTTATTTGTGAAGTATTTATTTGATTGGAAAAAATTTATCAGACGGTTGTTATCAGCAATTTGAAAAATTTTCGAAAAATTTATCAGCAAGCTGATAGCACGGTAGTTGTCCATATCATCAGGATCGCCTTTTATATAGATTGGTAATACAAGTGTCATTTTTAATGCTTCTGGGAATTCCCTTTCACTAAGAGATGTATTTAAGATGTTAAGAAGAGGGTCAGATATTATGGTATCATTTTTTTAAAGATGGAAATTGGAACGTTGTTAAATGGTTTTATTTTAATAAAATTTTGTATAAGTACTTAATGAAGCATAATAAGTAAATGATAAAAATTTCTAAATAATTGCACTGCTTTAAAGCCCTTTGACCTTTAATAATGTGTGGATGCACCCTGATGTGCTACGCATTCTCCAATGCGCCTAGGCATGCTTCTGATCAGGTGGTCAATGTCCTCCTGTGGTATCTCATTCCAGGCAACCACCAACTCCTCTCGAAGTGCTTCTAGAGTCTGAGGAGGACGTTGCAAATTGAGCAATCTCCTACCCATCATATCCCACATGTGCTCAATTGGGGATAAGTCGGGAGATCTTGGTGGCCATGGTAGCAATGTGACATCATTATGTTGAAAGAAGTCTATTGTGACTCTTGTAACATGTGGTCGGGCATTATCTTGTTGGAAAGTTGGATCTGCCATGGTGTCAAGATAGGGTAAAAGATGGGGTCCTAGAACTTCGTGGATATAACGCTGTGCGTTCATGTTACCTCTGATGAAGATTAAAGGTGACCTGGAACCATAAGCTATAGCACCCCAAACCATAACTCCAACAGTGTGATGAACATGTCTTTCAACAAAAAACTGTGGATTCCTCCTTTCACCACGTCGAATTCTAACCCTGGCACGACCATCATGCATGCCTAAACAAAATCGAGACTCGTCACTAAAGACAATACTGTTCCATTCCTGATCCCAGAGTGACCGTTGTCTTCACGACTCAAGGCGATTACGTCGGTGTTCTCGAGTTAAAGGGAGGACCCAGTGTGGCCGGTATGAAAACAAGCCAAAACTTCTCATTCGTCGGTAAACACTTCGCATGCCAATAGGTCTTCCATGTTCTGCAAACCATTCATTTGCAATGGACCTGGTAGTGGAGAAACGGTCCCTCAAGGCCAATAATCTTAGGCAGCGATCTTCACGGTCTGTTGTTCTACGGCGGCGTCCAGTGCCCCTTGCTCTTTGCGTACGGCCTTCTCGAAGCC